AACAAATGTATGCGATGTTTTGTTAAAATGTTCTTGAGTGGATCAGATAGTTTGGGCGGAACAAGAGAAACTTTACGGAAACTTTACATAAACTTTACGGAAACTTTATGGAAACTTTACAGAAGCTTTACGGAAACTTTACAGAAACTTTATGGAAACTTTACAGAAGCTTTACGGAAACTTTACAGAAGCTTTACAGAAGCTTTGCAGAAACTTTACAGAAACTTTACGGAAACTTTACGGAAACTTTACACCTTTCGACAAGTATAAAAATGTTGACAAGTAAAAAACTAAACTGTAAATCCAACAAAGTTTAGTCAAGTCATCTGGACGGTTTCTTTTGTTGTCGAGACGTTTCGTCCTTCATCCAAAGGACGTCATCAATTTGCTGGTGATAAGATGGTTTCTGAGGCCCGCCCTCTCCCCTGTCAACTCCTCTGAGGTAGCCATAGACAAAGTGATTCAAAACATCAAAGTTCATGCTCAATAATCCAGGTAGAAAATCCAAAAAAGTTTAGTAAGCTACGCTGCGTAAAATGAATTACTGAGTACCGCGTACGGTATACGCTCGTCAACAAATTATTAAACTGCAGTCTATAACAATGACATGAACAAGCAACAATCTTTTATAACTTTGACCTTGATTTGATTTGTGACCTTGACCTTGGAGCTTAGGTGAGGAAAGTGTTACACAACACCCCATCTAGCAGTGGAACAAATGTATGCGATGTTTTGTTAAAATGTTCTTGAGTGGATCAGAAAGTTTGGGCAGAACAAGAGAAACTTTACGGAAACTTTACGGAAACTTTATGGAAACTTTACAGAAGCTTTACAGAAGCTTTATGGAAACTTTACAGAAGCTTTACAGAAGCTTTGCAGAAACTTTACAGAAACTTTACAGAAACTTTACGGAAACTTTACGGAAACTTTACGACTTTCGACAAGTATAAAAATGTTGACAAGTAAAAAACTAAACTGTGTAAATCCAACAAAGTTTAGTCAAGTCATCTGGACGGTTTCTTTTGTTGTCGAGACGTTTCGTCCTTCATCCAAAGGACGTCATCACTTTGCTGGTGATAAGATGGTTTCTGAGGCCCGCCCTCTCCCCTGTCGACTCCTCTGAGGTAGCCATAGACAAAGTGATTCAAAACATCAAAGTTCATGCTCAATAATCCAGGTAGAAAATCCAACAAAGTTTAGTCAGAAACCGTCTGATCACCAGAAAACTGGTTGGACCATTATGTGAGTGTGCTGCTTGTGGGGCTCAGTTTGTTTTAGCTCCTCTGATAGATGAAGTCCTTTGGATGAAGGACGAAACATCTCTACAAAAAAAGAACCGTCAGATGACCTGACTGAACGTTGTTGGATTTGTTACCAGGATTATTGAGCATGAACTTTGATGTTTTGAACCACTTTGTCTATGGCTACCTCAGAGGAGTCGAAGGGGGAGAGGGCGGGCCCCAGAAACCATCTTATCACCAGCAAATTGATGACGTCCTTTGGATAAAGGATGAAATGTCTCGACAACAAAAGAAACCGTCCAGATGACTTGACTAAACTTTGTTGGATTTACACAGTTTAGTTTTTTACTTGCCAACATTTTTATACTTGTCGAAAGGCGTAAAGTTTCTGCAAAGCTTCTGTTAAGTTTCCATAAAGTTTCCTTAACGTGTCTGTAAAGTTTCCGTAAAGTTTCCGTAAAGTTTCCGTAAAGTTTCTCTTGTTCTGCCCAAACTTTCTGATCCACTCAAGAAAATTTTAACAAAACGTTGCATACTTTGGCCCCAGAAACCATCTTATCACCAACAAACTGATTGGGCCACTATGTGGCTGTGCTGCTTGTGGGACTCTGTTTTTTTGTGGCTCCTCGGACTGATGAAGTCCTTTGGATGAAGGACGAAACATCTCAACAAACAAAGAAACCGTCAGATGACCTGACTGAACTTTGTTGGATTTTCTACCTGGATTACTGAGCATGAACTTTGATGAACTGTATAAACTATTTAATTCAACTGAAATTTAAAAACAGATCTGGGCCTCTGTCCACCCCCCAGATTAACGCCTCATTTATTTTAGATTATTTAGGGCTTAACGCTGCACCAACAGGCTGGTTTTAAGGGCAGACAGGAAGTATTTTACATTTAATCAGACTTTTGTTTTAGTTTAAAATCAAGACCATTCAGGATTGACTTGTTTTGTTTGTTTGTAAACATTCAGTCCCACACGTGAAATTTAACTTAAAATAAGTTTTAGTTAGAATAATTTAGGGCTCGTAACAAGATTATATGGATTGTTATTTTAACGGGGACTAATCGGGTGACCGTAAAAAAACAGAAATGACTGAACAAGTATAAAAACAATGTAAACCTAAAAGCAGATGTTGTGGTTTATATATAAATTAAAGATATTTGCTGAAAACATGATGCCGCCACCGTCGTGCTTAACAGTGGCTCTGGTCCATTTTAGTCTCGTTGGACCATCAAACGTCTTTCAGAAGGTTCTTCTTTGTTCATGTGGTTGAACGTATGAAGCTGGAGCTTCGTTGACAAGAACTCTGATCCAAGCCCGGAACCGCCACAGAACCGGGCTCATCGGTGTTGATGCTTCTTTTGCTGTTTGGTCCAACAAAGATCTGGCCTCCTGATCCGTCTGATCCAGGTTTCAACTGCGTGACCTATGGAGCCCAGAGGTTGGCACCTCCCCTGGACTGGATCAGGGCTGGATTGTAGAACCGTATAGATCAGGGATTACTTTGGGGAACCTTTGTCAGATTCTCCGGTTGAAGCCGAACCCAATTTAAAAACAGCTGTTTCACATGCTTCACATTTTTTCAGTCATTTCTGGTTTTTAGTTGTTTTTTCACCAGATCTGTTAAAAAAATACAAATTAAATGTAAAATGTAGACGCTAGCTGCTCAGACTTGTGACCCGACCCGTTTGTTCATCAGAACCTACAGTTTTTGACCCTGATCCTCTTTCAAATAAGACTTCCTGATCTGTTGCAGGGATTAAAATTTCTTCTTTCTTTCCTGTTTTTCCCACTCGGTCTCCTCACAGCTGCGTACAGAACCGGACCCTGATGCCGGGCCCTCCGTTCTGAACGGACCTGTGTGCCCGTGGGCTCTGAAAACGGGTCAAATAGATCCTGATGAGCTGAAACGTTCTGTTTATCTGTGGAGTTTGTGTTTAAAGACCCATGCACACCTTTCTGCTCCTCGCCAACATCCAGAACCTTCAAACCCAGGGCCCATTACGGCCCATTTGGGCTCAGCTCTTATTAAAGCCAGCAGAACTCCATGTGAGATCGGGGAAGAATCACGAGGAGGCGGCTGGGCCTCCTGGTACTGCTTAACTCTGAGGATTTTGGGAAGAAATGTGGAGAAAATTGGCTGGTTGGCTGAGCCCGGCGGGCCTTGTGATCTTTCAGTCACATGTCTTTCATTTCTGGGTCTGGAGCTGAAGGACTGGGTCCTTTTTAGTCCAGAACCAGAGAGAAGGACGAGAGAGTCAAACATATTTGTCATTTGTTTGCGTGGAACGCAGATTTTGCACAGATATGTCAGAAATCTGCACATGGGGGGTTCAGGATGAGGCCCGTGACCATCTGGATCACATTCAGCACGCATGACGGCACTCACACCTTGTTCTGAGCAGCGAGTTCTGCTGCGGTCCGTCGGGCCCTCAGAGCTCGGAGGGTGTCTTCCTGAGAGCTCAGAGTCTGGGCTAAAAACAGAAACCGCCATTTTTACACAAAACTTTAATGAAGTTACAGAAATAACTGATCCTTTCTCCTCAGTTTCTGTTTGATGCAACAAACTGTTTATTTTTTATTGTGTTAAAAAAACCTCATTTAATTATTCAAACCTAAAGAGCTGATTGAATTACGCTAACTGAAACTACAACTAGATCAAACAAACGGATATGAACAGTTAGTATCTTACTTGTTGTAGATGGCTCTTCAGTTTGGAATAATGACTTAATTTTGACCGGACTGACGAGCTAACGGCCCTGAAACACTTTTACTTTAAAAGAAACAGGCCGCGCTAACAATATTTTACAAATCATTGTGTTGCTAATAATTTAGCATTACAGGGTTATCTAGCAGAAAAAGTCATATTCCTGCAGGAAGTGCTACAGCTAGCTGCTGTTGCTGCTTTCAAATAATGATCTAACTTTGTGTAAATGTGAAATTGAGGGTAATTTAAAACTTAAAAACATAGTTTGATACAATTTTGAGATCAGGGTTGTTTTAAGATGACGAGTCTTGGCGCCCTTTGGTTGAGCCGTTGGCTCGTTGATCCGGTCAGAACCAAACTCTCTTTCTGTTGATCAAAGCCCTATCTACAACAGGTAAGATATTAATTGTTACAGAAACAAACTTAACCACCTCTTTAAGGTTCGTTCACATGAACGTTTACTGAAGCAGAACTAAATCAGCTCAACTTTAGCTACTTGTTGCTTTGTTTCAGAATCATGCGAGTACGACGCACGGAGCACCCCGGACGTCCACAGTGAGTCAACAACAAACACCGACTGGTTCCACGATCTAAACCTCGTCCCTTTGGTCCTCTGTCTAAAGATGTGCAGAAGTCACTGTGTGGAGCACTCGTTCCACAGTTTTCAAACTATTTCAACGAATCAGAAATCAAAACGTTCAGGACAATCCTGCTATGACTGTTGGTATTGGTGCAACTTTAGCTTTTTTGAGATATTTAGCCTTTTCTGCCATTTTTACCTCATAGAAAACGAACTGAGCTCATTTTACGTCCTTCACATCTTTAGCTCTGTTTACAACCTTTTACTGCTCCTTTCACATTTTGTTCTGCTTCAGCTTCTTTCAGCTTCCTTGTGCAAAGTTTTTTTTTTATTCAGCTACTTTCAGCTAATTCCAGCTATTTTCAGCTGTTTTGTGTTCATTTCAGCTTTATTTGGCTAACTACAACATTTTTGTGCCTCTTCTAACTTATCACTACTAATTTCAGCTTTTTATGCTCCTTGCAGCTTATTTCTGCAAGTTTCAGCTATTTCAGCTACTATTTACTTTTTTTTATCTAATTTGAGCTTTTTCAGCTAATTCTTCAATTTTTGCACTCATTTCAACTTTTTTCAGCCTAATTCAGCAAAAATGTTCTCTTCCCACTTCCTTCTGGTAGTTTAAGCTTCTTTCTGCTTCTTCTATTCAGCTGTTTTTGACAAATTTCTTTTTTCAGATAATTTCCATTTTTTGTGTTCATTTCAGCTTCTTCAGCCTAATTGGGCACAATTGTGCTCTTTCCACTTCCTTCTGGTAATTTTAGCTTTTTTTTGCCATTTTAGCTACTATTCAGCTGTTTTTGTTGAAAATGTCTGTTTTTCTCAGATAATTTCCTCTTTTTGGTGCTCATTGCTTCTTTCAACCTCATTGGGCACAGTTGGGCTCTCTCCACTTCTTTTTGGTAACAAGCTTCTTTCAGCTGTTTCAGCTACATTCAGCTATTTCTTGCTAATTTTAACTTTTTTAAAGCTAATTTACCAAATTTTGTGCTCATTTCTGCCTATTTAAACTAAATTCAGCAAATATGCATTCTTTCTGCTTTCTTCTGGTAACTTGGGCTTGTTCTTCCATTTCAGCTATGTTTCAGTGTGTTTTTAGCTAATTTCAGCTGTTTTTCAGTAAGTTCTTCAGCAATAAGCGTTCACACTGCATTTTCACAGGAAATGCAATTTCTCTAGTTTTTAGTTTTCATGCAGTTTAAAGCTTTGAGCTCGATCCACAGTAATGTGTATAGCTCGCAGTTTTTGCACGAGGGTTAGACTTTCATACACTATATATTTATAAAAACGTGTAAACACGTTTCACTATGATGGTAAATAGTTCAGTGATTCGTCGGCATACAGTAGAATTGTGCGGCAGCATAAAGGCAAGAAAGTTTCAGCCACAAAAAGCTGGAAAACATTTCAAACGCTGGTGAAACCCAACAGATCGCAGTATCAGCTGTGGCTGGTTGTTTGAAACATCCGTAATCTCAACAAATTTAATCTGTTGATTTCACAATCGTCTTCTGCAGCGACGCGCAACACTCCCAGAAAATGTTTTTAATCTACCTTATTATGCTAGATTTACTTTATTTATGAGTTATGAAAATAAACACGATTGCTCCTGGTTTGTGAACATTCATGTTTATTTTTAGTTCAGTACGTTCAATTATAAATATTAAATTATTTATTCATCCAATGTTCCTGGTCTGTGTCTGCAGATGGATTTGAGGAGCACAGTTTGGACTCACGTCAATTTAAAGGGGTATGATTTATCTTTAATTACTTTATTAGTTATTTATCTGTTTTGAAACCCACCTACTGAAGTTTTCTAATCCTAATCCGATCATTTAGGTTTTACATTTTAGCAAAGTCATTTTTTGTGGCAAAATGTTTCCAATAAAACTGAGCTGGTTAGTTTTGATGAAAACCTTAATAAAAATGAAGGTAGAGTTTTTGTGAATTTCTTCAACATTATATAATTTATATCTACCAGCGGTTACTGCTTAAACAGACGGAGGCAGACCTGGACCTCATCCCTCACAGAAGAGGAGTCTGGCCCAGTTTACAGTCCTCTGGCTCTAAACCGGCAGGGGCACCGAGTCCATCTGGAACCAGGACCGCTCATGTTTACATCAACATGTCTGTCTAATGTCGGAGCTCAGCTTTGTTTAGTTTCAGTCTCTGAGTCGGCTGCTGTGCTGAGGAACCATGATCCTCAGCTCTGCTGCTCCGCTTACTGAGTCAGGATTTATTTGTTGGAAATAATTTAATCTTTACTGGATCACAGAGGGAGAAACCTTTACCAGATCCCAGATGGAGAAATATTGATTGGATCCCAGGGGGAGTAATCTTTACTGGATCACAGAGGGAGAAATCTTTACTGGATCACATATGGAGAAACCTTTACCAGATCCCAGGTAGAGAAATCTTTACCAGATCCCAAGGGAAGTCATCTTTACTGGATCACAGAGGGAGAAATATTTCCTGGATCACAGAAGGAGAAATATTTACCAGATCGAGAAATCTTTACCATATCCCAAGGAGAGTAATCTTTACTGGATCACAGAGGGAGAAATATTTCCTGGATCACATAGGGAGAAATATTTACCAGATCCCAGATGGAGAAATATTTATTGGATCCCAGGGGGAGTCATCTTTACTGGATCACAGAGGGAGAAATATTTACCAGATCCCAAGGGGGAAATTTTTACTGGATCACAGAGGGAGAAATCTTTACTAGATCCCAGGGGGATAATCTTTACTGGATCACAGAGGGAGAAATATTTACCTGATCCCGGGGGAGTAATCTTTACTGGATCACAGAGGGAGAAATATTTCCTGGATCACA